TCACATTGATGTTTCTCTCTCTCTCCCCCTCCCTTCCTCTGGGGGGGGGGGGGTCAATGGAAAAATATCCTCAGGTGAGGATTAACCAAAAAAAAAAAAGAGAGAGAGAAGAAAAGATTTAAAAAGCTCACTATATGCAATGTCGTATCCTAGACTGTGTCCTGAAACAGAAGGATATTAGTGGGACAAAAAGGAAAATATGAATAAAGTCCATAGTTTAGTTAAAATTCTTAGTTTTCACAATTGTGTCATGATTATGAAGATGTTATTAGGGAAAGCTAGGTGAAAGGTGTTTGGGAATTCAATCTTTGTGACTCTTTTATGAATCTTTATTTTATTGTTTTAAGTTAAAACAAGGAGCTCAGAATTATACACAAACACACATATTGCTATCAACTATAAAAATACTTATTGTACAAAAATTTAGTAGGCTTGAGAAACATTTTCAGAGTTATAAAAATACTTTGCAGTTTGGAGGGTGGAGAGAAGGAGAGGGAGATGGAGAGAGAGACAGACACACAGACAGAGAGTCATTTTATGTTGCCACTGCTATTTAGAGGTCTCATGGAACTAACGATTGCCAAGAAGCCCAGACTCACAGAGGCTGCAGAGGTTTCAGAAATACCCACATCCTGACAGCCTTAAAATGGGTTTAATTTTTTTTTAGCATGGAAGTCTCATTTAGGGAGTAAGGAAGACACTTTCTATAATAATCTTTTTAGTAATCACTCCTCAGGGACGACACTTAGAATTTCATGATATATGAAATTAAATTTTATATATATATATATATATATATATATATATATATATATATATATATAAAGACTAGATACTTTCTGCTTATTGGTGGTGGGCACTTGGTTTCCTAATCCATGGCAGACTGAAAACTGTAAATGTTTATCTAAAGAAGTGACTTCTACAGAGCTAGGACATTTGGAAATTCCTAGTCTTGTAGCCACTGGTCCCCTCTAAGTGCCCCAGGCATCGTTAAATAGGTGAGGAGTGACTAGGAGGGTAGATGGGAGAGAGGGGGTGATGGTGATGAGCGGGGTGCTCCTCCAAAGTGGCTTCATGAAAGTCAGTTTTAAACTCACTGGCTTCTGCCAACTTTGTAAAAAGTCACTGCATTTAGGGTTCTTGGATTTTGAAATAGCTGTAATTCTTCAAGAACCTCTCGGCTTTCCCCACAGGGCTTCCCTTGGCTGCATTCCCAGGGAGGGGTGTGACCACGCAACCTGAAGAGAAGCGCAGAGAGACAGCTCGTCTGCAAAGGGACGTCAACGCTGCCACCTGCGCGGCGGCCCCAGAGCGTGTAGATCTGCCGATCACCAGCAATGTGGATCATCTCCACTGCAACACGGGCTTCCTCCTGTCGTGGGCCTGCCCTTTTTACTAGACTAGCTGACATATTACTCCTGAGGGACGGAATGAAAAAACAGCATCCTTGCACTTCTAGAGTCTAGAGTTCATCTCGGCCTCAGTCAGACCTGCAGGCTGGTGCACAAGCCTCCACCGATTTACTGGGAACGAGTTGGCTTAGGTGTTTGTCCTTCGCTTTCAGTGACTAATGCTGTGAAATACCAACAGACAACACCCACATTTCTCTCTATCTATACGTACTTGGAGTTTGTTAAGGACGCTGATCACATTACTTGTTAGGGGCCCCTAAACAGAGCTCCAAGTGACACCTTTCTCTAGACAGCCTAGTGATGTTGGGCTCTGGAGCCCGATGGCCCAGATCCAAATCCTGACTCTACTACTTAGCTGTTGAACTTTCTGTGCCTCGGTTTCCTCATCTGCAATATGGAGATAATGATACTTGGCCCACTACATTTCTATGAGAATGAGAGTCAACAGAAATTAAGTTTTTAGGATCATGCCTGGCAAAAAGTTAGCACTCAATAAAGATTCACTATTACAATGATTTTATAACGAGGCACTAGAAAAACCATTCCATTCCACGAGGAACCAGAATGCTTCCGCTTTATGCACAGTGTGATTCATATAAAGTGGGGTTCGAAACCCTTTCCCCTACCGATATGCTCGGGGCCCTCAACAGTGACAGTGCCTTTCTATACATGAGGACCTTCAGATCCAGGGTGGGATAGTTAGAAGCAGATGTACTTTGCAAAAGTCCCTTTGAAATTCTGAGTTACCCTTGCAGAGATCCATGTCATCCGCCCTCAGTGGAACTAGACTGATAATTCCCTTCTATTTTCTGCACCTTTTAAAGAAAGCGTTTGTTCTCGTAACTCTTCTCACATCTTTTATGGAACAGAGTAGGATATGCAGCGAGGAACACAATACATGTACTATGTTGTTTGGAACTGAGAACAACTGCAGTAACTTACGACAAAGCTGAGCCTCCTTACTAACACGGACAGATTCACAAGAGGTGTGGGAACGGACATGCTGGCCATGGGAAGGCGGGTAAAGAATGAGGTGAGCAGTATAGCTGGGAGGGAAAATGAGAAAGCCTCAGCTTTGGTGGTATTTCAACCAGGCCTCCATTCCTGGGACCAATTCCATCCCCATACGCTCTTGTGGTTTCACAAGGTGGCTTTACGGGCCTCACTGCCCCAGCCCTGGCTGGTGGCTCAGTTGGCTGGGCGCCATCCTGTGTACCAAAGGGTTGTAGATTCGATTCCCCAGTTAGGATACATGCCTAGGTTGCAGGTTTGGTCAGGGCACAAATGGGAAGCAACCGATCAATGTTTCTCACATCAATGTTTCTCTCTCTCCCTCTCCGTTTCCCAGCTGAGCTGGCTAAGCTCCTGACATATATAAAAACATTTTTTTAGCCCTGGAGTGGTTCAGTTGGTTGGAGAGTCCTCCTTTACACCAAGAGGGCTGCAGGTTTAATTCCCAGTCAGGGCACATACCTAGGTTACGGGTTGGATCCCCAGTTGGGGCTCGTAGGGGAGGCAACTGATCAATGTTTCTCTCTCACTCAGATGTTTTTCTCTCTCTCTCTCTCTATTTTTTTTTTCTTTATTGGTTTTAGAGAGAGAGGAAGAAAGAGATGGAAACATCGATGAGAGAGAACATCAACTGGCCGCCTCTTGCATGCCCCCCATTGGGGATTTGACCCACAATATGGGCATGTGCCCTGACCAGGAATCGCACCGGCAACCTCTTGGTGCATGGGCCGACGCTCAACCACTGAGCCCCACCAGCCAGCCCTTTCTCTATTTTTAAAATCAATAAAAACATCCCTGGGTACAGATTTAGAAAAAAGAGCAGACAGGCACTGCTGCCGCTCCCCCTCCCCCCTCCAGCCTGTGCCGATGGCTCTTGTAAAATACCTGGTAGCAAAGCAAATTACATACATCCCACCTTCCTATTTTGCTGCATCCCTCCGTGCCATCAAATTTATCTTTGAAGGCCAGCATGCCAGCGGCAGGCCAAGGACCTGTTCAGAACACTGCTGGCTCTAGGGCGCCTTTGTGCAACGGGGCTGTGCTTGGAACAAAGCTGAGCAGACAGGAGCAGAGAAGATTTCCACCATGAGCCCCGAGCTGCACAGAACCGATGGCAGTTCGGCAGTGTCTGGCAAAGGAGTCAAGGCTCTGAACCTGCGTGCTGTGACGACTACTATGGGGCCCTATTTGCGGTTTTATTCATAGACACAGATCTGCTGAGAAACAGAAAAAATATCTAGAACGAGCTTCATTATTTGCAAATGAAAATAAAATATGCAAAACAAAAATGCAGGGCTCCTTGTTCAAAAAAGCAGGAAAAAATATTGTATTAAAACATGAAGCTTTTCTCTCTTGCATTCTCTCTCTTGACTTTCGGTGTTTTTAACTTGCTACTGAATGTCATGTTCCCTCAGGCACGGGGACACTTGTGGGATGAGTGCAGACCATCACAGGCACCCGGGGCCCTGCCCACCCCCACAGACCATCATCTTCTGGGCTCCCCCTCCCACCAGCTGCTGGATGGATCCGTTGTGCCCTGGCCAGGGGTGGGGAAACTGAACCAGGAATCCCCTTTTACCACAGACTCACCCACCCTCATCCCCCAACCCAAAGCAGACGGGTGTCCCTCAAGTTTCTTGCAACATCTGTGCCAGGACAGGCAAGGTACCTAGACTGAGAGTAGGCAGGCTTCACTCCCACTGAGTCACCTACTCAACACCCCAGGTGTCGTCAGCCTGGGTGGGGCAGGCCACTACTTTGACCTTTCCCGAGACGCCATGGAGCTTGTGTACCCAACACCAACCCTCCCCATGCTCACACCTAGGCCCCTACAGGTGGAAGTCCACAGAGGTTGCTGGGTGGGAGCAAGGGGAGGGAGGAGGCAGGGCCTGGAAGAGGCAGGTGGCAAGGCTGTGCATAAGCCAAGGCTCCAACCCCCGGTGCGCACTCCATCACTCCACTAGGCTTCACTTAATAACACACACAAAGATAAAATTATTAAGAATTTCAATGTGGTGACTGTACTGCATCAAACCCCAGGCCTGGGGCCCTGATTCTCAGAACAGGGTCCTGTGCCACTGCATGACCCCATGCCCATAATGCCGGCCCTGCTGGGACCCCACCAGAAGCCAGAAGCAAAAGTTCGCTCTCACTGTCCATCGTAAAGCACGCCTGCTCATGACCCGGATGGCAAAGAGGTTTCACCTTGACTAGGCCTGAGGCCACCATGGAGGAGGGGGGCGTGAGGGGTCTCAGACCACCTGCTCAGATCTGCAAGGTGGAACCTGGTTTCCTTTTAAGGGCTTCTGAAAGCCCTTAACTCGCTACATCGTGGGAAGAAAATGGACGTACTGAGATACAGGTAGAGTCGTGGTGGTTAGAGAAATCCTCCTGAAGCGAACATGGTCTAGGGATTTACGTTAAGTGTTGAGGGAGATTAGAAAAGAGAGCGGATCGAGGGATAATTACTTAATAAGTGGCTCTGGGTTGATGGTTTATAAAAACTGGGCCATTATCCAAAGTCATTACTTTGATGCAAGACTATAACCTAGTTGCTGGAAGCACGTTTTTACAAACCTTGGCTTCTGGGTCACTGTTGATGCTACAAGAATCATCATCATCAGCATGCGGGGCGTTTCTAGGAAAAAACAAACCGAAAACGGGACTCAGAATTCTACCGTAACTCTGGTGGCAAAAGCCACACACCACAGCCGGTCCTTCCAATGCCCTACCTGAGTTTCAAAGACGCATAGCGTAGTGTTGCTCCTTCAAACTCTTTCAGACTGGGGTCTGGGTTAACTGTGGCTGCGTGCAGATCCTGGAGAAAAACAGACGCTTGTTAGTGGAGAAGGGAGGAGGGCCCAGGACAGACTTCAAATATCCTGAGGGAGGAGAGTCCTCCAGCCTGAGGCAGGGTGCACGTGAGCGTAGCAGAAAGCATGCAAGGGCTGCTGGATGCTGGCTCGGTGCAAGGTGCGGCTCACAAGACACAGGCAACCTGGGCAGTCAGCTCGAAGTCAATCACAACGGGAGACGGCAATAAAGGCCGCGTGTGTGAGCTGGACATCCCTAGCAAGAAGCCCCATCGCTCCGTCCCTGCAGACTGCATGATGCTCACAGACAAGAGAAAGGTACAGCCATAGCCATGCACAAAGGACAACACAGTAAATGAGCTAAGAGCTGACAATATACTTGCCTTCCAAATGTCACTATTAATCTTTCCCCCATTCAGAACAGCAAAATCACTCCATGGCTGTTTCTAGACATATAATTATTCACACAGGAAAAAAGCACATTGATATAAAAAAGGAAAAAGAAAAAAAAAAGAAAGATAAGGAAAGAAAAAAAGGAAGGAGAAAAAACAAAACAAAAACACAAGACACTGTTGTTAGCATTGATATTCACAGGATGGGTTAGGGAACAAATTCTAACAGCAACACTAGCTCACGCTCTCTAGATCTATATTAGCACCTGAAGTCCAGACAGGAGGGCAGAGATGGCATTTTACCTACCAAAACACATGCCTGAACATTATTAGCAGACAGAGAAGTTATCTTCTAAACCGGGTCTTACAAGTAAATGAAATGCCTCCAATTATTAAATGCCCAGTACACCTAGTTTCATGGGAACTGTTGCCATCTCCCATGAACCAAACAGAGCCATTTTCTTGAGGTAGGAATGAAATTAGGGATGACAACTGTCAATGTGCTAGTTTGGAAACTGAGGAATGTCCATGGCTAAGGGCATAAAAAGCTGAGAGGTCAAATTATTTTCATTTAAAAGAAAAGAAAAAAACAATGCAGGGGAAGAGTTAAGTAAGGAGCACAGCCTGACATCAACGTCTTGCTGAGATTTAACCTACCAGCAAACAGCCCTGAGCAAGCTAATGTAAACCCCTCAAATTCATAAAAAGCTCTCCTTCTCAGACACGCAAGCCTCTTCACAAATTAACATTTGATCACAATATTTGATCACTAAACATCATTACAGAACAAAGCATGAAGCCCTATCTTGTTGGAAGAACTCTTATAACAGATCTTCGAATCTAAACAACTGCCATTTATCTTGGACAAGAAGGAAAAAATTTTCCCCCATTAAATTTGAGTGAATATTCAAATATGTTTCATCTAAGATTTGGGGAAATAATACTAATAAAACCCAGGGACATCCTTATGAATCTGTGGCACTGACTTGGTGGGCAAATCTCCTTTCTCAAATAATAAATCAACAATGGAAACTTTTCAACTAAAGTTCTTTGACAATGAGAAGGAAACACGACCCATAACTTATGCTCACAATATTAACAGAACTTTTAAAACCACTCAAAGCAGAAGGAGCCGAGTCCCAGCACCCAGTGCGCTGAAGGGCGCAGGCATCTAAGGCTGCAGGACCCTGTGAGGGCAAAGGCATCGCGGCTTCAGGTCATCGACCCTTGCCCGGCTGTGTCGCTGTGGCTGTCCTTTTCAGACTAGGCATCTGAACTGCAGATTGTCAGAACAAATGAGAACTTAGGCCACTGTATTTATTTTTTAAATCATCTCTTTTATTGAATAAAAGAGTGTGGATGCTGCCCAGCCCATCGCCACTCCCCTGCTCCATCCCCCAGGCATTCAGCTTTCACTGAGGGGAAAATGAATCGTGGGGAAGAATCTTCAGGGGTTAGCTGAGGACACCTGGGAGCCCCCTGGCATGGGTGTGAGCTTTTGTGTGTGTGTGTGTTTTCCTGGGGAGATGATCCCCAATTTTTCTCATACTTTTCAGAGGGGCCAGTGACCAAAAAATGTTGAGAGTCACCGTTCTAGGGGTATCAAGTAGAAAATAAAATTTCTTTTTAAAAAGAAAATAATCCTATTTCGCCCCAAATCATCATCACTGTTTACATGTGAGCAATCTTTGGTTTTCATTTAAGTCAACTGTGGAAGACGTTATCAGATAATGAATTAGGAAGACGAAGATAATTGTGCTTTGAAAGAGAAAAAAAATTCTTTTACAGGGGGGACGTCTGCTAAAAGGCATTTGAAATTGAGTGTCAAGAGACACTCTGCTGGGACTGGAGAGAGGGAAGGAAGAGTATTTTTAAAAACAAGTATTCAGAAAAGCTTCAGCACTAAATAAGAGTTCTCTGTGTAAGTGTGTGTGGTTTAAAAATGTTTTATGTATTTACTCTGAATGAAAGGGTCCCTGTAACGTAAAAGTGGATTATAGTTCTCAGTCTACATGAATTTAGATCTCATGCTATGAAGACATGAGTCAGCTGGCAAACTTCCAACCATCACCTTTACCGGTTTAAATAAACAAAGGTCTTATACAGTGATTTTGCAAAAAAACCTTAAAATAACATGGGTACTCCTAAAGAAACCCTTTCACACAAAAATCAAGTAAGGAAAAATGGAAAATAACATTTTATGTTATGATGAGGTCAAAGACCTTTTTTCCCTTCTATATTAAAAAATATTCACTTTAAAACATTTTTCCTTCCCATAAGTGACCATAATTTTTTTTAAATTAAGGACATTAGAAAACAAAAACAATTTGTTTTAAATTTTAAGAACTACATATTCTATTCATCTAATTTCTTTTTTAATTAAGAGGAGAGAATGCAATAATTTAGCTAATAAATTAAAAAAAGAACCCAACAGATTCTTTGGTTCTGCAGAAAGTCTGCAGCTGCCCCAGCCTGCAGTCTGGATGGTGGGGGTGAGACATGAAAGAAGAGAAGAGACAGAGGAAGATGAGAAGCGAGGAAAAGGCTCAGCCACAAAGTCAGGGAGAAAGGGTAGCAAAGGCAGAGCCCGTCTTCCATGAACGATGGCCTCCCAGTGATAATCTGAGGCAGCAGAGCTGAGTGGTACTCTGGTGCCAGTTACAGCTGGGGACAGATTCTCCGGTGCCTGTCCTGACCTCGCCCAGGCTGCAGAGCTCCTGACCCTGATTACGGTGACGATGCTCAGTTCCGGACAGCCCGTTGGGGGCACTGACCCAGCGCCTGGAGCACGGCACCTTCACGACTGCACAGCAGCAGCAGCGTGAGGGTGAACCCACCAAGGGGTCTTAATGCTATAACCTTGACTATGGACAGCTTTCTTCTTCCATATTTCTCTTCTGAGACCTTGGGAAGCAATTCCACAGCTCAAACAAAAACACGCTTTCTCATCCATCCTCTCTTCTTAAGGAACCGGGAAGCACCTTCGGTTGGAGAGATTAGAAGGCAGACTTGCCTACAGGCTAATAGTTATCCACAGAAATACTCTGTGTGGCTGGCTCCCTCCTCTAAAATTCAACATCTAAGTAATTTGGAACAAGACAATGGATTGGGCGGAGATGATCACAGGCCAAATTTCAGCAGCAAATGCTTCCTGGACAGTGTGTAAACGTTTGAAAATACTGCTGCCATGTGGCCAGGAAACGTGAGCCACTGTGCTTGACACGTCCCCAGTACACGCCAGGATGTGACATGTAAAACTGTCAAACTGTAAGGACGCCTTCAGTCCTAAATTTTTGCAAGGCTTAGTCAACAGATCTGGCACTTTTTATTTATTTATTTTTTGAAGCCAGCTCGGAGAAAAGATGAATAAAATATACATTTCTAACACAACATCTTACAAGTTTCTTCTCTCCCTTAACATTCTGCTTACTCTCATGTTCCCAAATTAGTTGAAATAGATTCTATTTAGGGATCAGAGAAATGGTGTCAGAGAAATAATCATTTCTCTTTAGCTGTTATTAGCACCGGAGACAATGGTATCAAGAGAAGTCATTTTCTGGAAGGCTCTGCCTATGACACAGCTTGGGGTGAGGTGAAGGGGTTCCAGGCCCTCCAAGCCCCTGACACACAGTATAGTGGAGCTTGCATCGGGTGGGAGTCAAAGGACCTCACTCAAGCTTGTCTGTACCGCGGATTAGGTGTGCGATCTTAGACAAGCTCCTCACCTCTCGGTCTCAGTGTTGTCAGATGCAAAAAGAGAGTGACAACTATAGTACCAGATGCACAGGAGGAGAAGGTGATGGGCATGCGCTAGACCCTATATACACCCGATTATCCTGAGCGCCTCCAAATTTATATACATCGCAGCATTCACACACCCTGGGTATGTGGCAGGCTGGGTCCTTCCCCCAGTACTCCGCTTCCTCTTCTCTCTACCGTCTTACCCCTTTCCTGCTCTGATTTTAATTTACTGCCTTTTAAATCTGCGTGGTTCTTTTTTTTTTTTTAATTCTGAATTTTTTTAATTGTTTTTTTTCTTTATTGTTTTTTAGAGAGAGAGAGGAAGGGAGAGAGAGAGAGAGAGACAGAAACATCAATGAGAGAGAACATCGATTGGCCACCTCCTGCATGCCTCCCACTGGGGATCAGGCCCACAACCTGGGCATGTGCCCTGACCGGGAATCGAACCGGCGACCTCTTGGTGAATGGGTCGATGCTCAACCACTGGGCCACACCGGCCGGGCTCTGCTTGGTTCTTCGACTTAATGGATGGCCTTCTGGACAGGAAAAAGGTGCATGAAGTGAACAATGGAAAGGTTGATCTGAAGAACACCTATCCCATCAGTCTATTAAAGCGCTGGATATGAGTCATGCTCTCTTGAAACTTAAGAAACTACACATCCATTGACAAAGTTCCTTGGAAGGATAAGACTCTGTCAAAAACAATGGCATGGTCAGCAACAGAAGAGAGGAACGGAAGGAAGCCACAGCGACAAGGTGGAAGTCACACAGCCTGGGCAGGGCACAGGCCGAGTCAGAAGCTGGATGAACGCCCACCCCCGCCAGCTGGTGCTTACTCGAACTGAGCCTCCGCGACCTCTTTCTTAAGCAGGGAACACAATGGTGGTCTTCCCCGCCACATGAAGAGTCTTGAGAGACCAAATGAAAGGACATTTATGAAAGGACCCCGAAAGCCACAGTAGGTCGTAAACAGCAGCTGGGAGGCTGAGCACTGGGTGTGTGAGGAAACACTGAACTCTAGGGGAGGGAGGGTCATCGGAAGGAACCCTGAGCCAAGAATAGGCAGGAAGAAGCAGACCTGGAGAGGGGGAAACCAGGCGAAAGTGGGCATCAGAAAAAGGCTCAGGGTTCAAGGTGGACTCTGCCCCTGACACTTTTCCCCAGAGCCAGCTGCCCACCTGTGCTGCCTTCTTCCCCAAACATGGAAATGAAAGTCTACCGTACTCATTGAAGAAATTACAGTCTGAGCCACAGACACCTTGGGGTGCCTCCTGGATTCCACCACACCCGCTCTCTGGCCCCAGGAAGTGGGCTTTCAAAGGACTTCATTTCTCCCACAGACAGAGGACAAGAGAGTCACTGGACAGAAATGGGATCTCACAGGTACTCTAATCTCCTCACCTCTGGGACAATGAGAAGGCAGAGCAGGCGGAAAGCCCAAAGCCAAGGAAGAGGAGGGAGAAGCACTGTGGCTTAGAATTCAGGAGGGTTCAGGAACTGAGTTCTACACCTTGAGTTCTGCTGGTCACTGAGCGCTCTGTGCCTCATCTCTGACGTATGGGTACTGGTGTCAGATGACCCCTCCCACCCTGGCACTCTGGCTGCAGGGCACTTCTTATTGGTATAGGTGGGTGAAGGGTCGCAACATGGGAATGAAGCCCTGGAATGGAGAAAGACCCTAACAGAGATGCCAAGAGCAAAGGTGTATGGGTAAGGAAGAGAGGGGATATCTGTGCCTTAGCGAGAGCCGGCTGGGATTCTGCAAGGCCACTCTGGGCCAGGGAGAAATGCCAAGAAGCAACGGGGCTGGGATAGGAAGAGGACACCAAGCTCTGTGAGCACCAGGGCTGAGTTCGTTCATCTTTATCCCCCAGTGCACCTAACACAAGATGAATAAAGGATCGAGTGGAATTTGCTCAGGGACCAGGAATATGATGCTTCAGTGAAGTGTTATCAGAATCGCCCAGTGATAAACAACAAACTCTCACGAGGTTGAGTGGAACTGAAGCATGTGCCTGATTATCAGGAAAAAGGACCAACAAACCACGGCCCTTGTCTACCAATGAGGACACAGCTCGCCCCAACCCCGCGCTTTGAGGATGGAGAAGCTGAGGTCCAGGCTGGGAAAGGGAGGTGCCCAAGCCTGGAAACAGCAGGATGTGGCTGGAAGGTAGGTTTTACTGCCTCCCTGAGAAGAGCAAGTCAATAATCAAAGACGTGGGAAACATGTCTTTTTCTTGTTTCCTACAGAGGTATAATAGTTACAAATATATAGAGGAGCTTTGCAGGTCAGAGATGCAGTTCAAATGCTGTCTATGTCCCCAAAGCCGAAGAAAATGGGTGTTTAAAAAACAAAAGATTATGGTCAGAAAAAAGCAGAAATGTCTTGGTGTCAGCAATCAAATGACTTTTCTCAAAAATAAAGCCACTATTTAATTGTGACCTTTTCCAAATGCAATTCTCTTAGATATTTTGTCATTAGGATTCATAAAGGTTCACTGCAGGACTCTTTATATTAATAAATACCAATATGAGATTTTTTAAATGCCTCAATTCTTTGTTTAAACATTCAGATGTCTTCCTCAGGGATAGCAGAAATTTATGCTGCTCATTATTTCTAAAATAATGTCGCTTCTGCTAAATAAACAGATCCTGTTTTTAAAATAGAAATTACGCATTTAAGGGCTCTCAAGGGTTATTCTTACAGACATCCTCCCCATGCAATCAAATGAATCCAAGGATAATAAGATATGCAGTAATTATAAGACGTCTGGCCAAGAGATGTTCTTCTGTGTGTAAATATTTTATGGAGTCAGCACCATGCAATGGCACCTACAGAGTAAAATATTGCCTCCACGAGCCCTGGGGAATCTTAACCACTTCTCATTAATCAGCCCTCTTACTTTCTGTACCTAAAATAGTAGTTCAAGAGATCAAAAATAAAAACATCTCTGAAGATGGTATTAACACTATTTGGGTTTCAAATGCAACATGCATGATAATCAAAACACTTACCTCAATGACCTGTTGGGGCAGAAGCAATGAGTGTAAAGAGAAATCACAAGTTACAAGTTACATACACTCTACTAAGTCGTTAAAAAGACACTCCATTTTACCTCGTTCTCTGGGGTGGGAGAAGGCGTTACAGAACTAAGGGACCCTTTCCTGGAGCCCGGAAGATCTGCTGGGATGGAGACAGGGCGTTCCCACTGAGTCGTTCCTGTTGGTATGTGCCAGTAATAGGTCCCAGCAATGTCGCTGATCCTTTTCCATCCAGGAGGCAAATCTGGATCTGTCTGAAATGAGTGCTCACTCCATATATCTGCTGGGAAATGAACAAAAAAGGGAAGGTTTTGTTAAAGAGGAAACAAACTACAGTCTTCCAAGTTTAGTACCAACAATCAGGAGAATTCCATAGACAGAGGTGTCTGTAGATTAAACAAGAAGAACTACAGCCATGCTGTGGATACAAAGCATGGTTAAAGGGGTGATAGGGAATAAAACAAGGAAAGAACTGGAAAGGAAGGATGACATTTGAGAATATGAACATAAAGGACCCACTATTAAGTCATCCAATAGCTCCAAGAACCCCACGATCAAACCAAAGCTCTGTTGTTGTTTCGTGTTGTTGAGTGACCCTGGTGACTGAGTGACATCCAGTCCTCAGCAGCCCTGCTTGGCTCCTGTAGACTCAGTCTATGGCGTCTTTCATGGAGTCAATCCACCCATATTTAGTCTCCTCTTTTCTTGCTGCCTTCTATTTTTCCAGCATTATTGTCTTTTCCAAAGAACCCTACCTTCTCAAGATGTACCCAAAGTAGGACAACTTCAGTTTTGTCATTTTTGCCCCCCAATGATGTTTTAGGCTTAATTTGTTCCATTAACCAGAATTAACTACCCAAGTGAAATTTTCAAGATTATACACATCGCCCTGGCCGGTTTGGCTCAGCGGTTAGAGCGTCGGTCTGTGGTCCCAAGAGACCTGGGTTCGGTTCCCGCTAAGGGCATGTACTTGGGCTGCAGTTTGTCCCCGGCTCTGCTTGGGTCGTGCGGGTGGCAGCCACTCGATGTGTCCCTTTCACATCAATGTTTCTCTCTCTCTCTCCCTCTCACTCTATCTGAATAAAAAATGGAAAGATGTCCTCGGATGAGGATAAAAAAAAAAAAAAAAAAAAGATTACACACATCTACCAAATCCATTTGTAAATTAGTGAAAGTAACAGCTGGTGTCCTATAACACTCCCAGCAATGAATACAACTCTTAGTTTCTTTAGCCACTTTCTATTTAAAAAAAATGTTTTGTTTTCTTTATTGATTTTTAGAGAGAGAGGAAGGGAGAGGGTGAGAGAGAAAAACATCCATTGGCCGCCTCTTGCACGCCCCGCACTGGGGATTGGGCCCACAACCTGGGCGTGAGCCCTGACTGGGAATCAAACTGCTAACCTCTTGGCGCATGGGTCGACGCTCAACCACTGAGCCACACCAGCCGGGCTTTCACCACTTTCTATAAATAAATGCTGTATTTATATCTTTTAATAACTCCTCTCATTTGATATAAATATGTGCAAAGTCGCAATGTCTTTTATAATACTCTAGAATTCTAAATTGTACACAGAAAATTCTCAAGGAAAGCAGCCTGGAAAAGCCTTGGTATTTGTCCTGGCCAGTTTGGCTCAGCAGTTAGAGCATCGGCCCGTGGACCAGAGAGACCTGGGTTCAGTTCCCGCTAAGGGTGCGTACCTCGGTTGCAATTTGTCCCCGGCCCTGGTTGGCGTCGTGTCGGCAGCAACCACTTTATGTGTCTTTCTCACATCAATGTTTCTCTCTCTCTTCCTCCCTCTCTCCCTCCTGCTCTATCTGAAGATAAATGAAGATTTATCTTCAGGTAAGGATAAAAAAACAAAAAACAAAAAAGCCTTGGTATTCAAGAAGGGACCAGACTGACTGTAAAATCAGGCCAGTGACATAAATCTATAAAGTAGGGTGGGTGTGAAACACTACAGAGAACGGTGAGGACTGTGGCAAACTGGCAAGCATGTGCAAAGTCCAAAGGCATTCAAATTCAAAAAGTAATTTTTAAACACTGTTGGAGAGATCATAAATAAAATAAATCAGCCATTCTCTGGTCTATGTGACTATTTTATGTTTACTAAATAACTCTTTGCTTTTAAAAATCTCATTCTTGGCCTTTTTTGAGTTGAATATGAAATGGATAAAGTGCTAGAGAGGTCAGGAGAGAAGAGGAACAGGTTAAGAAATTTAGAGAGGCAGAGGAATCACAGGCAGCTGTATCAACACAGGCAGGCAGAGAAACTTAAGAAACCCGAGCTTTAAACCTGGGGATCACTTATTCTAAGGATTGGGCCCTTCTCTAGGTGGCCATGCAGAAAAGGCGGAGCCACCCCAATGAGCAAGCCTGTGGGCCCTGCCCCGTGCAAATGGCACTGCATCACGTGGGCAGGCATCACTGAGGCTGTTACAGCCCACCCAGGAAAGAAAGAAGCCAAACAAAGAGGTTGATTAAGACTATGGGCACAGATGTACATTCATGAGGTAGTTTGGATCCCAGCATTCACTTTCTCATTTAAATCTGCAGGAGGCAAAACTGCACTTGTCTCGAATTATGATGGAAATTTCCCCTCCCCCCACAGGAAATGAAGCCTGATTAAATAATTTCAAGTTACTCCAACTCGAAACAAACATGTGCATAAACTCCTTTGTCCTGTGTTGGTTTTAGGGGGCTGGAAGTTTCCAGCCAGGAAATTACTTGGTGCAGCTTTGCGGGGGAAGCAAGGAGCTGGTGTTGCAGAGGACTGGCAGCTCCATGCCCTTCGGATTCTCCGCGGGCCTGTCATGCACCCCTCCGGAGAGATCTGCTTAGACTTCTGAAATCACATCACGGGAGTCTCAGCTTTCAGTGGGGCTCTCCTAAAAGACCTCCAGTCCGGAGAACTTTATTATTTGTTGTTGTTGATGTTGTTATTTGTTCATCCTCACCTAAGGATATTTTTCCATTGATTTTTAGAGTGGAAGGGAGGGAGGGGGAGAGAGAGAGAAACATCCATGTGAGAGAAGCACATTGACTGGTTGCCTCCTACATGACCCTGACCAGGGCAGGGGATTGAACCTACAACCCAGGTATGTGCCCTTGACTGGGAATCAAACGCGAGACCCTTCGGTCTGAGGGCCGACGCTCTAAACCACTGAGCCAAAACCCACCAGGACCAGAGAACTCTCTTCTTTTTGGGTGAGTCATTTCGAGTCAGTATTGGATAACATAAAACAAAACAGGATTCCATCTCAGAGCCAACTTCAGGACCGGAACTCAGACCAACTGTGGGGGCTACTTAAGGAAAGACTTATAGAAGAATTAAAACGGAGAAATATATAGAAAACCTGCAGAGTACTGTTACAATCTCCAGTGCAACTAGGAATGAGGCAAGTCAGCAAGGACTCTGGACCTGGCACCAAGCAGCCTGGCAGGAACCAGGAGTGAGCAGTCTGTAGGGGCCTCTACATTCTGGCTCAGACACTCAAGCTGACCTTGGGCAACTTACCTCATCTCTTCGGGCTTAGATGCTTATGTGTAAAATGGGGATCAACACAGCACCTAGCTCACCAGGTAGTGTGTAACACATTCAGAATAAAGTTGGCATATCACGGGCATACTCACTACATAAATGTTCACCGTTATTGTTATCAGTATTATATTATAGGTCACCAGTCAACAATACTGTATTAAGCTCATTCAGTCACCATAAGGAAAATATTTTCCTATGTCCAAAGGAAAATGCTCATTACAGAATTTATGCGATTAAATGTTCGAGGCAATAGGATAAAAGATGATAACACTGTGGTGACTTCCTGAAGAAGGTCAATCAGGTTCCTCAGCAGGGCTAGACTCTGAGGGCCTGAGCAGGTCAGACTAGCCCAGCTTCTATCCAGGACGCCTTGCTGGACTTCTTCCCAGCATGCACCATGCCCCTGACCACTATGGCTCTGCTTCACAGGTACCTAATTTTTTCTCCAAATGGCTCTCTCTCAACTAATGTACAAGTAAAAAAAAAAAAATCCAGAATTTTAAAAATAAAGATTTATGTCCCCTGCTGTCTTTATTTTAAAGCAGATTTGCTAAACTTGTCCTAGGTTTCTCTCAAACACAAACCATCCTCAAATGAATCAAGTTTTCTTGTATTTATATGATTCTTGAGTTTTTACCCCACTGTGGGCCTGGAGCCCTCATTAAAAAACACAAAGTTGCCCACCCTCCCGCAGAGCAGGTCTTCACACTCAGCACACTCAGCAGCGTCAGCTCGCAGCCCCGACGGAGTATCAGCACACCTGGAAGAGCCCTGGCCTTCCAGCCTTACACCCAAGTCCCATTAATGCTGCCATGGGGTTCTAAGAGCAAGTAACAACGAGACTGTCAGTAACAGTAAAAGTAACGAGGGTGTGCTGCTGACGGTGGGCTGCACCCCCAACTGCTGTATTGGGGAGCCTGTGGAGTGGCCCAGCTGTCCTATGCAGGACACACTGTTAGCCCCATTGCAGAGAGGCCAGCAGTTTGGTTTAAAGCCAAGGGGGTAAACTGTGTGCCTCTGTAGAAATGGGTTTCACTTTTTCAAAGACCCAAGAAAAACCAGTATGGACACCTTGGGGGAGATTGGAAGGTGAATAAATAGAGGGAGAACAACAGAAAAAGATCACAATGGCTGCAATGCTGAGGCTATGAGCCCAGCCGGGTGACCTGACCAGGGTCAGACAGCTGATAAGTGATGGCACCAAGATTCACTCCAGAAGACTGGCCCTGAGCTCTGAACCACCCCAAGTCCTACGAAGGCACGTCCAACGCAGGTTTAACACAGGGTCTTCTTTTCTGGGCCTCCCTCCCTAATTCTGCTTTCAGTAAATGGGGCAGCTGCTTCAGCCCCCATACACCTGGGCCACCCATTCCCCCCCCGTCTGTCCCGAAGGATCTTACACTTAAGCTGCTTCACGTCTCCTGTTATCACAGTGTCTCACTGAAGGCGAAGTCACAGGCTGACAGGCTGGGGACAAGGAGCCGAGTGCCGTCGGTGCCCTTTTAAAAGTGGCTCTGTGCGCCCTGGCCGATTTTGCTCAGTGGTTAGAGTGTAGGCCTGCGGTCCAGAGAGACCCAGGTTCGGTTCCCGCTAAGGGCATGTACCTCGGTTGCAGTTTGTCCCCGGCCCTGGTTGGGTCCTGTGGGTGGCAGCCACTTGATGTGTCCCTTTCACGTTGATGTTTCTCTCTCTCTCTCCCTCCCCCTCCCACTCTATCTGAACAAAAAATGGAAAAATGTCCTCG